GAGAATCAGGGGCTTTCAGGGAAAAGCATCAACTCTTCAGCTTTCCACAATCTGCCCCCAATTGACCTGAGCAGTCACCTTTCATGAGGAGCTCCTGGCAGCTTCCATCCACACCCTCGTCACCTTTGTGTTTCTGAAAGCACTAACCCTCCATGTCCCTGCATGCCATGTTGACACTTACCCTTCAAAACACCTGATCCCAAAATTACCCTTTAAAACCGCACCAAGCAACGTGATGCCCCCACAATAATCTGCCCATGCCCCGCGTGGTTAAGTGTAATCACCAACACATCTCTCACTAGACTGAGTCTTGTGTAGTGTCTGATGGATGTCTGTGCTGTCCCCATGCCCAGGCTAAGGGACCCACTCAATAAATGGGTCTGCTGTATGAATAAACCCAGCCAAATTCCCTCACTTATATGAGGAAAATGAAACCAGGCACGTTAAGGGACTTGACCCAGGTAACCCAGCACTGAGGACAAGAATAATGCAGGAAAGTCCTTCGGTGAGGACTCCAAGGCTGGCTGTCCTTTGCAGAGTCCCCTCGATGGCTCATAAAGATCAAGGGCTGGCTCCTGTGCCATCTACCCACAGCCCCAACCCCAAGTCACCTGGTTCTCCCAACTCCTCCACCTAACCTCCTCATCTACCCACGCCCTGCTCCACACCCACATTTGGTAAACTTCTAGGCTATGAACGCAGAACGTCAGGGACATTTAAAGCAAAGCTGATGTTGCGGCCAAATGACTAAGGAATGTGCCGACAACTACATGCCAGCATCCCTGGGTTCTCCAAAAGGGGCACCACCCCAACCTCAGGCGTGGTGGACCTGGTTACTCTCCGGCTGTCCAACCTGGGTCTTCTGGCCCTCCGGGCGAGACAGGATGCGGGCAGGAGGCAGGGGAGAGGAAGGCTGGGACCTGTGAGAGGGACGACCGCCTTGCCCACCCCGGCTCCCCGGGCAACGCCCCGCCGCTCACCGAAGACCAGAATGTTCTTGCCGGACGGCAGCTTGGACCTGGCACGGGTGGACACCTCGCTCAGGATCGAGGACCTGTGGAAACAACGGCAAAGCGGTCAACCCCGGGCCCAGCCTGGACCGGACCGGTCCGGGACGGCCCGGCCCGTCTGTCCGCCGGTCCAGCCCAGCCCGGCAAGCTCGCCGCCCCGCCGCGCCCCACCCAGCCCGGCCGCCTCGCGGTCTCACCATAGGCTCTGGCCCTCCTCCTCTTCACTGGGCAGGTCGCCGGCGGCCGCCACCGCTAGCCCGTTGGGGCCCAGCAACACTTTCTTCTCCACCCCCACCGGCGCCATCTTGCCAACTGCAGCCACAAAGAGGGCCCTCCCCCGGGCCCGCTGAGGACCCACGAGGACCCTGGCCAGGCCGCCCGTCGCCCGCCGTCCCGGGGCCGCGCTTTACGTCGCCAGACCCGAAGGGTCCGCGCCACCGGCCGCGCTCTTTCGGTCCCGCTCTGTCTGCAGCCCCCACCCCAGAGACGTGAGGCCACAGCGGTGGCAGGAGACCTGCGGAGGTCAGGCGGCAGCCGAGGCAGCCATGCGCAGGGAGGCGTCGGCGGGAGCGGGAGCCGCCCGGACTGAGGGCACGCTGGCGGCCTCTGCCGGCGGAGGGACACAACAGCACCTGCCCCAGGTCCTCCCCGAGCTGGCGGCTTTCCCTTGCGCGGTCCCGGGCGAGGCAGCCAAATGGGCAGACGCGAGCAGCTCAGGCTTTGGAATGAGACTATACCCGATAGCGCCATTTATCTAGCGTTTACCGAGTCACCCCGAATCATATCTAACTTGTTTACAGATGAGGAACCGGAAGCTCAGAAAGCTTAAGAAACCTACCTACCCAAGGACCCAATGCTAGAAGATAGCATCTCTATACTTAACATCTTATTCACCGATCTTATTATATCACGAGCTTTGCTTAATCCTAATCAAACCACGCATTGAAAGACCCCCAAATCCTCATGAATATCCCTTTTTCCACTTCCTTCTTCATTTACCCTGTTGAGGTAGTGATCTTTACCGCAGTGAACAATACATTGGAGCTTACTTTATTAACAGGTTTTTAAAAATATTTTCAGGAAGTCAGCATTTGACTCCAGAAATAGGTTTTAATTTCCTTTCTTGGGGGGGTGGGGGAGGAAGAGATATGAAAGGAGAAGGGATAGGGGAGAGAAAGGGGAAAGAGGGTAATGGAAGAAAAGGAAAGAAAAAATACATTTCACCTACCAAGCTTAGCTTTAGGTGTGGCAACTACCTAAGGACTCTTGCTATCCTCTGTGGAAATAGGCTCACTTTACAAGGCATTTCTAACTATCACAAGGAAGTGGGATAGTGTAGAAAAGCAACCACCTACATGGGTTTCAGACGAGTAGGATTCTGATCCCAGCTCTGCCAAATGTGGGCAACATGGATTACAGAATCCAACAAATGGGCATATCTGCCAACCTGAATGTAAGGTTCAAACAGGACAATGGGAGTGAAAACCCATTAAGCTATACCCCCTGGAAGTCTGGGAAGAGCATGCAAAGTATGTATGTCTTAAGAGGGCAAGCGGTATCTGAATTTTCATAGGGCAGAAGATGAAGTTGAAAACTACAGGCCAGTGAACTTCATCAGCCCTAGATGAAATTCTCTAATGTGACCAGTAGGAAAAGCTAGCACCAGGCTTATACAGTTTCTTTCTTTTTCTTTTTTTTTTAGCTAAGCCATCCTGCCACCTGTTGGCAGCTCAGTGGCTGCTCAGCTCGGGCCGTGAATGGAACCAGCGACCCTTTTGCTGAGAGCTCACACTCTTGAACAAGCTCTTAACCAACTGACCCACTCGGCCAGCCTTAGTTTCTTTCTTTTTTATAGGTATACCAGATAGAAGGATGCTGCAGACATAGCAAATGCAGATTCCAACAGGGCATTTAACAATTCACATCATAAACAAGAAAGTGAAATGCAGGCTGTATTGAGGCTTGTTAGAAACCAGGCCCAGTCAGGGCCAATGAGCAGGGACCACCAGAGGAGGCCACTAGGGACCTGCCCCAACCTCCCACCCTGGCCCAGCCAATTCAGGGTGCCATCAGTGACTTGGATGAGAATGCAGTAGCACACTCATAGAAGTTGTGGATGACCTGAAGCAGGAAGGGATGCCTAATATATTGGATGACAAACTGAGTACAGACTAAATCTAAGAAGGTGGAATTTAACAGGGACTACTAAAGTCCTGTAGTGGGGTTAAAAATAAATGCATAAGAACAAGATAGGAATTAATAAATATTATAATCTGTAAATCTTAACTATAATCTGAGAATGTCAAGAAGCATCTTAGGTAAGATCCATAAAACCTTACTCAGCCTAGCAAAGAAGCTGATAACCCTACTCTGCCAGTCAGGCCACATTTCCTTCTGGTCTCAGTTTATAAACAGACAAAGAGGTGTCCAGTGGTCAGTGACTAAGCTCATAAGGAGACATGGCACTGTTCTGCTGAAGCATGAAGTAGTTGGGGCTCATCAGCATCCAGGACCAAGGATGTAGAGGGAAAAGTGACAGACCCCTATCTTTAACACTCTGGAGGGCTGGTATGTGGAAAAGGAATTCAACTTTTGTGGTTCTGTAGAAGGTGCTCCAGGAAATCACATTTCATTTTAATCTAAGGAAGAACCGACCATCAATTATCACCCTGTGAAGTAGTAAATTACAGGTTTCTGAGGATATATGCAAAACTAAAGACAGGCACCAATGTCCAGATTGTTACAGAGCAATTCAGGCCTCTGGCAGGGAACTATAAATAAGGTCAGTTCCAACTCCAAGGATCTGGCGAGGTCTGAATTTCTAAAGCTATACAGTCTTCTAATATGTCATCATTTTTTGGCTTTCATTTTCTTCATTTATATTATTACCAAATAGTTCCATTTGAGTGGGGAAAAACAGCTCATATTAACCAAAAGTTAGCCAAGGGTTAGGATAAAATTTCAATACAATTTCAGAAGACAGTAGGTTATTTTAAATCGAGTGTCAGTGACTGACACAAAACAATGTATAAGTTCAGTATGTCATATTCTTGGGGATGCTTCTGTAAGCAGTTTGATCATTCTGTTAACATATATAATTTCCCATCAAAGAACTGTTAACTAAGACCTACTTAAAGTGGAAAAAATATGTTTAAATCATATCTGAACAATGGTAAGAGACAGCTTCTGATTATCTAAGCCAATGAGGCTGAGGCAACAGATAAAATATTTTCCCCTTTGACCTAAAATAACTTTAATAAATCTTGAGAAGTACAAATAAAAATAACCCAGGAAGACTATTTAAATCATCTCCATAGTGCTTAGGAAATACTGACAGATAATGGACTAAATTCATTCACATTTTAAATTCTGCAAGGGATTTTCCTAACTTGTAAATTATTCTTTTGCCTAAAGGAAATTTTGGATTGAAATAAAAAATTTTCTGCTTATTGATCCTCTGGGATTTTCAATGTGAATCAAAAAAGAAATTTAATAAAAATTCTGCTTCATCTAAGTAGAAAGAGTCATGATCTGAAAAGTTCAAAGAATACATGCTTATAAGCAAATATTCTCTGAGACTGAAGAACCCACTACAATGACATGAAGCAGTGAGCCAATGGGTACATACACACAGATGAGCTTTCCTGCCCTTATACTTGATCTCTTTGCCACAGCTACAGCATTTTAAGTATAATAGAGGCTGCACAGCATCCTTTGGGGATCGTGAAGGAATATAAAGAAAGAAAAACATATAATTGAGATCTTATAGTTTGATATTCCATTAGGAGAAAACTAAGTTAAAAACAAACAATAAAAATTGTTTTAAACTTTTAAAAAGCAAATAAGGGCCGGCCGAGCGTCTCAGTTGGTTAAGAGCTCGCTCAAGAGTTTGAGCCCTGCACAACGGTGGTTCGAGTCCTGGCCCGAGCTGAGCAACCGAGCAACCACTGAGCTGCTAACAGGCAGCAGGATGGCTCAGCTAAAAAAAAAAAAGCAAATTAACATACACCAAAAACAAGTGAACCTGCATAGAATTTGGAAGTATTCAAAGCAATTGCTCAATTAGCCTGTAAGAGAGGAAACATTTTAATTAACAAAATGTCAAACATTGATTTAATGTGTGGGAACCCAGCAGCTTGGGAAACTATTCTGTCTTTCTGGGGAGAGTTTTTCCCTGGATAAGAATACTAAAATATAAATATCTCACATAGTAGTCATTGTAATATAATGTCAAATAATGTTTAAAGGCTGATAATTTTTCCTCTGACCTATGTTCTTTAAGCTTAAGGAAAAATAAAAGCATATTCCTAAAGAAATGTTTGACATTAAGGAATTTTTTTCTTACCAATCTAAACCCTGAAAATGTATTTGTTTTATAAACTATTTTAATAATTTGATGACCTGTAGTTTATCTCATCACAAAAAGTATTTAATGAAAACAGTATCCCTGTTTCCACATTCCTTGTCTCATGAGACTTTAGAAGAATATTTTACATTTTGTATTTTCAAGGCACTGTACTTTAAGAGTTCAAACTAAAACTGACAAGTTTTCTTCCAATAAAGGAGCCTCACACTTGGGGAGTTTGGTCAGCTTGTGGTATTTGTGAGCAAGGTCCACAGACTTCCGTCCTTGTTGAAAAGGGAAAGACCACAAAATTAAATTCCAGTGATTTCCCATTTTCTTAACTCCATTGTAAAGGTAATTTATTTCTTCTTCAGTATAATTTTTACGAATTTTTCTTTTTTCTGTAATTAATGAGAATTGTAGACTATATTAGTGCTTGCTGAAAAAAAAAAATCTTGAAACCCAAATAAGTGCGTAACTTATTCTAAAGATAAGAACTACACAGTGAGAAAATTTCATGCCTGGGCTACTCATCATATAGAATTCCACCTCAATTTTAAAAAACTGAGTGCCTACTATTAAGCTAGATGTTATCACAGTGACTTCTTCAATAATTGTAGCTTTATCATATTGTAATAATACTTGCAACATCTTTCAGGCAAGAAACACAAGAATCTACAAACATCTGATTGTTAATTCTCTTGACATTCCTGTGAGGATAGTTAACAAACATCTTATCTATCTTACAGTCTTCCCAAAGGGTTCCATAACTTCATAAAATAGAAAAGAATATCAACACTTGTTACTTTAATTATCAGTCTTGACTAATATTTTTAAATAATATGGGCCTTTTGAAATTTACTTTTAAAAACAAGTTCACTACCTATATGGAAACTCTCAGCTTGTTAAAACTAAAAAAACAAACAAACAAAAAAAACGGGCTGCACAAGGAAGTTTTTAACTATATGGTTTTTTAGGGATACTTTCTACAGCATAAAGACTACAGAGTTGGTATCTGTAATTGTAAACACAAATATCCTCTGGTGATGATTACTAGGAAATAATTCTTTTAAGCTTTTCAATTCATTGCTAATTCATGTTATCATTGTAGGTAGATGCTGACAAGGAGGACTTTTTTGTATATACACTTAAGGCTGCTATTTACTTAAGTAAGACCTGAAATAGTTGTACTGTACACCCTTAGAAAATCTTGCCTCGGTAGGTCAAGATTGTTAGCTATTTGCCCACCTCTCCTAGGATAGGAGCCACTGTTCAGATCTTTACATAAGAGATGTAAAATCTCACCCACAGAAGGCTGATAAATCAATGAAAGTAATGTCTGATTATGACTTAATGGCATTACTTAGAATGCAAGCTCCATGAAGACAGGGATTTTTGTCTATTTTGCTCACCATTGTATCGCTAGTACCTAAAACAGTGTCTGACATGTAGTAGGTGGTCAATAAATATTTGTTGAAAGAAAAACGTTATTGGTACAAACTGTTTCAAAGCTTATCAATGAAGTTACTCCTTACTTTTGGGTCTACTGGAAAACTGGTTATCTAAGAAATAGATGATTTCAGTTTCACATGCTAAATGATTTGAACTCCTTGTTATCAGTACTGGCTGGGTTATTATAACATTCAGGTTATTAGGGTACTTGTTTCTGTAAAGCCAGTCCCCACATTTCCATTGCAGCTGCTATCTCACACCGAGTCCTACACTTAACATCTGTGCCCAATTCCTCAGTTTACTGAAGCAGAGTAGTGGGTAGCCTAAAAGGAAGAAGCAGCTCTGTACACCACAAAGCTCCTGTCTTCTTTATTGCTCCTCTTGATATTGATTAGGCATTAGGAAAGAACAGGGGGAAACAGGCAAAAAGGCTCAGTTCTAGAGACTCTTATTATTCAAACCCTCTCAAGATACCAATCCATCATTAAAAAGAGCCTTGTCCCTAAGGCTCTTTAAATGCTTAGATGCTGCAATGGTCCCTTCTCATAAGAATGATCTCAAATTTGAGTGTAATCTAAATCAAATGAGTGGAGATAAATGTATTTAATACAAAAGGGAAATTTATCAAGAGATGAAAAAATGGCAATAAAGCAAATATTACTGGCTTGCGTGTGAAAGAGACATAAGACCACTCTAATCACTACCTCCTCAGGATGCCTTTCTCTATTCTAAAAAAGCAGGTCAAATTACCAACTATTTGGTTTTAGCTAACTCAATTCTAACCCACAAAAAAGATGTATGTACTTATGAGCTGAATGTCACATTAACAATATTTAGGATTCCTCTGTATAAGCAATATATAGCCATAATTATGTACATGTCATGAGGCTCTGCAAACGATTTTACTATATAAAATGATTATAGAATATTTTTAGTTGTTACATATTTGCTTTTAAGATGTGTTGTTGAAAAAAGTCTATATTAATTTGATGACAACTCCTTGTCAAAAACAAGATTTCCAAGTGGGATATGTTTCTATGGGGAAAAAAATACCCATTTTCTAACAGTTTCTACAGAAAATGTTACTTTTAAAAGTGAGCTACCTTATAATGGTAGTGTTCTTTTAATTTGCATGCAGAACTAGAAGAAGAGACTCAAATATAAAAAGTAAATTTGAAATTCTTTTCAAGGTTTTGGCAGTGAAACTGGCCAAATATTATAAAAGTATGTGGCAAGGGCCGGCCGAGTGGCGCGATGGTTAAGAACTGGCTTGCGGGCCGGCCGAGTGGCGCGATGGTTGAGAACTCGCTTGGGATGCCGGAGGGCCCCGGTTCAGATCCCACATATGAGGGCCAGTGACACTGCCCTCCACGGCTGGGATGCTGAACGGCAGCTCAACCTGGAGCTGGGCTGCCGTGGGTCGCCGGCGACGGCGTGGGCTGCAGTCCCTGTGGCAGTGGATTGCCGTGGGCTACCGTGTGTGGCCAGCAGCCAGCGTGAGGGCCAGCAGCCGCAGTGAGCGGCCGTCCAGAGGCCGGCGACTGATCTGCCTCGCCAGAGAAGAGCACAATGATGGTGCCAACTTGGGCCAGTGGGGCAACGTCCTCCACAACTAGACTGAAGAACAAAAACGACAGCAACTTGTCTGTTCCCCTTTCCCCAATTCCCCA